AATAAGTTTATTCTCGTGCTCAGACGCACGCCTTATAATTCTGTGTAATATTATTCCTCATACACCTCGGCCAATTCATTGGAGACAAACGCGCCACGAGTATCGTTACGGTCAGTTCAATAGCTCCGCGGCGGTGCGTATACATATACATTTTTTAGATTTATTAATTCTTAAGTTAGGTTCATTTCAATTTGTAGGTAGGTATATGAATATTTATAAGTAAATAATTAATAAATCATTTTGAGAAGTTAACCATATTATTACTTGAATTAAAAATAATATCTTCGATAAGTTATGTTTGTTTTGTATACACAATTATTAATTAAACTCCTTCATAATTAGCAGCAAAATATTAAACATTGTGAAGGATAGCCTATCGTCACGCTGTATTTGTGACTGCTATTAACTATTTTTTGAGTTCTAAAAAGTACTTTAATGAATAAAAACATATAAAAAACAAATATTGAGAAAATACGTTTTCGGRTGTTTTTTTTTTTCAAAAAGTACCTACCTAAAAAAGTATTTGAATACATTTAACCGAATACTTTACAATACTGGTACTAGGTAGGTAACATGTCATAGGCGCGATGAGGTTTTAATAATTATTTTGTTATTATTTATACGGTTCTGTTCTGATAGGCAATAGTAGGTACATAGGAGATTCTAATAGCACCATACTAAAGTACAGTTATTGAATTATAGTTTATTTTTTTTTTGAATTTAAGAACACTAAAAAAAATTGCACATTGAAAAATGAAGATGTTTTCGTTTCAACCACGAAAAGTAATAAAATGTATTGGAGTAACGCTACGGTGATTGTAAAACAAACGTCTCATCGGTTGGGCCGATTGGAGGGCGGCGGGTCACAGACGAAACGTTCTGCCCGCAGCGTAACACTCGTGCCCTCCATGTTATCACAATAATAATAATAATAATAATAATATGTCGTTGGTGACGAATGACGATTGGGGCGATACCGTTATCGATCATTTCGTTCGTTATCATCCTTGTTTTTTTTCTTTTATTCTCGTGAATAAGCCTACTTTCATAATACGATAAAATACATTATGCAACAGTATTAATTATATTATAACATCATAAATTCATAATTGTTATTATAATATTATTACTGCCATGAGATGGAACATAATATTATTAATTTATACGTTGTGGTTTAGAACGTAGGTACCAAAAGTTTAGAGTAATCGACACTGTTATTATCATTTTCAATAATCATCGTCGTGACATCGTTTTACACTTAATGCGACCGTCTGTTTGCGTACAATAATAGTATACGCGCCTTCGTAATTAATCGAACCGCCGCCATCACCGCCTCCGTCGTCGTCATTTCGGCGCAGTAATTTGTCGTGTTTGTTTTAATTGATTTCCGTCTTGATATGTTGCGGACGAACAACGGATATTAGAGCGACACCACGAAAATCGTTTTTTAACAGGTAACCTGACTGAACTATTATCATTATTAATATTATGGTTATTATCGCTGTTAGAATGTACTTGGTTTTGGTTCCAAATCTATTCAGATTGAAAACTATTAACAAACTAATTATTTCGAAACAAATTTACGATGCATCAGGTATTACGCCGTCTCAGTTAAAATATGCGGTCCGCCCTACAAAAGTGGCCTTAAAAATCTTTGGACAGACGTTCTTGATTTGCCATGGGTGATCGATCAAAATGTTCGCACGAGCTCCACGCCTCTACATAGCTCTTTTCATTTAAGTCTATGTAACTTTATAATATTCATTCACAACTAAACAGCCATTTGATTGAATTTCTGGTATGCAGCATAATTAATTTACTTATGCGCCTCCCCATACCTGTTAAACTTATTTTCAACACCCCAACTTAAGATTCAAAATGTTACTGAATTTATCCCAAAATATTATTTAAGTATCACCTAAAAATAAGTGTTATGATTTAATTGTCAGAATATTTGGTAGTTTTAAAACATTTCAAAATCATACAATGCTAATAATATTGATAAGTACCTCAGCATAAAGTATTTTATTTTGTACATTTTAGAATCTTTTCAAAGTACTATGACTGTAGGTATTCATATTTATATTTTATTAGCTAGATAAGTTTATTTTTACTGTAGTCTATTGAATTTTATTATTGCTTACCAACTACTTGAAAAAAAAAAATATATAACCAATTATTTTTACTACAATTTATCCTCTCTTATGATCTACTACCTAAGGTTTGTTTAATTTTATATATAGCATACATAATTTCCAAGCTTTTAATGAAATTTTATTTTAATGTTGAAAAAAAAAGTGTTTTAATCATTTACTTAACTGTGTATCTACTTACTACATAGAATTCTTCATATTGTACATCTATCTTTTAAAGGTGTTTAGATGTTTAAAACTTTGATGAGATGTCTCAAAATCATATCTAAGTTGATACTATGTTTGATCATAAATATTAACTAACTACCTTAATAGTTAAACATCTTGTTTATTTAAAATTTTTATAAATACAGTTTTTTTAGTACCTATTTATAAACAAAAATAATATCTAGTACCTAATTAGGGTGGCTAGATATTAAATACGGAAATACAGGACTTATCTTTTAAAATAAATTACCATATATTTTGTATTAAATACCTAAGGATTTAATGTCTTATTGATAACTAAAAATAATCATTATTATTTTAATCTTTTTTTTGGATATTTGATTAAAATTTTACAAATTCTAAACATGTTTAGTATTTATTAAAATTAGTTAGATATATTATCTACCTATTATAGTAAAATAAAACGAATATTTTTTGTATAAATTTATTTAATAAAAGTCTTATTTCCCAACAGAAAATCATGAATTGCTAGATGCTAACTGACAAAATATAAAAAATTCTAAATATTTCACTGAGACTAACAGTACAAGTGAAATCATCCCAGAAATCATCCCAGAAATCATATACCAATTACCAATATACTAATAATATGCACATATTTTACTGTGTGTCTTATTATCCTATTATGTCTTATTATTGGTCATTCACGACGTCTTGATTGTCATTGCCTCTACGCAGGATGTGGTCCATTATGAAGAAGGCAAAAATAACTTTACATTCAAATAGGTAATCAAGTTAAATTTTTATGCAAATCGGTTATCATAATAATATAATAAAAACAATATTATTCTACAAATGTATAATGATACATTTATTGATATTTAATGTAGATATGCAAAGGGTGTACCGTCAATTGCGCGTGATAATTTCAGCGCACGTTAATTGGGCGTGGAAATTATAGCGCATGACAATTAAGCGCATACAACATCTTGGTGTGCGTCAAATTAGCGCGAATACGACATTTTAGCGTGTGACATTTTAACTCAACAAAATAACAAAATAATACAATAAAGATACAGCAAAAAAAATATTATACATATGTGAAGATTTTGAAAATCGACCACTCAATGAGTACTTACAAGGGATAGCCCACAACTTGAATTTAAATAAATGATTATAATATGATATTTTTTTATAAATGTTTGTATTTTTTTTTAAATTTTAAACATAATTTTAATTTAAATAAGTGATTTTTAAAATAATGTAATATRTAGGTATTTAACGTTTAGCAATATTTAATGATATTTTTAATATGATTTTAATTTGGTATTTTATTATATGTTTAATTAATTTGGTATATTTTAATAAACATGACGCGCTGACTTGTCTTGCGCTGAAATGTCGTATACGTTGATTTGTCTTGCGCTGAAATATCACCGCTGAATTTTCTTGCGCTAAAATGACCGCGCTGAATTGTCATCGATCCATGCAAAGATTATATTTTAAATGTTGCGTCATTTTCTTTGCATATGTTTCTAAGTTTGAAAATAGACATATTTTTTAAAAGAGGATAATTTTGTCCCATAAGACTTATTTCGAGGCAATGGAATATACTTTTGAAATACGGTACCTACTTTCCCTATAGTACTTGAGGTCTGGACCCCTTCCTGAATCCATTGCTGTAAGTGAGTATAATAACTGAAAATACAGTAGAACCTCAATTATTAGAACTAATTGGGACTGAACCTAGTTTGGATTTTTGAAATATAAAATAAAATAATTTATAATAATTTATTATTTTTATAGTGAAATATTTATTATTATTAATATTTTATTAGAATTACATACATTACATTATAAGAAATCATCAAACTACGTTTCCATTGCATTGTCAATTTAATTAAAATTATTATAAGTTGCATAACATCTTATAAAATAAAATATAGAAAATTATTTAAAATGAAAAAAAAAAAACCTATATATTTACATTTTTTTATATTTATATTATACTTAATAATCATTGACAAAAATTGTATATCATTATTTTATTATTTTAAATTTGGTCGAAAACGGACTTGTCCTTAATAATAAGCCAAAAGTGAGAGTTATGATAAATTCAATAAACTGGTTGGCTGACCAGCCGGACAAGAGTTTTCGATAATAGAATAACAGAACGTTTTGATAATAGAGGGTTCATATAACAGAGGTTTGGATAATCAAGGTTCTACTGTAATATTAAATAACATCTAACTGTAACTAATGGCCATGTAGTTGCCGAGTTTTTATTTGATCAATAAAAAAAAAAAAAATAAAAATAAATAACATCTATGGTAGTATTAGATAAAAAATTAATACTGCTTGTATCTATTTGCAATTAGCAATTACTAATATATATTTTTTTTACAACTTAAATTATGGCAACAAACTAGTACCTATATTATTTATATTGTGTTTAATTTGTTTAATTTTTGTTTTTTATTGATAACTTATTGTAAAAAAAACCATTAAATAAAGTTCAAAATTACAATCAAACTCCTTAAGTTAATCCTACAATATTTTATTGTTATTTTAATAAAAATAAGTTGGTTATTGAAAGTGCAAATTTATAATGATATTATATTTTATTCTAATATATTATTTAATAAACATATTTTATTTAAAACACTATGAGTTTTGATAAATGTAAATAAAATAATTATTCTGTATTCCAAATAAGTTTCATCACTAGTGTTGGCCTGGTACTTAATGGGCCCCGGATACATTTCATAAAATGATAAAAAAAAATGCTTGTAAGTAGTGAAATTTTATATTTTTACGTTTTTAGTAATATCTAGGCCCCTCAAGACAAATACCCCCAGGGCCCCTGATGCGTTTGTGGCCTAGCAGCCATGGCCATGCCGATATTGTTCATCACAGCAGTCCTACCATTCAAAAGTTGCGCAGTTTTCCCCAACTTATTTCAAAGAGTATAAAAATTAAAACGTTAGGAACTTATTTAAAAATTGTTCTTTATGAAAAGGTACATTTTATACAAACATATTGTATTTTGTATTTGTTTAAAAATATTTATTATTTTTATTTATTTGACTTGATTTTAGATAGATATCTAATGCAATAAGGAAACATTTACTAAACATGGCCGGAGGAACTAGCTTAGTTGTTCCAATTGTTTTATGGGGTAAAACACCTTTAACACATTGTGTTTCGTGTGTTTATTTATCCCCGGATCAGAGAACACTAGTAACTGGATGTTATGATGGGCAGATATGTCTTTGGGCAGTATCTCCTGAAACTTTAAAGGTTTAAATAAACAAGTTACTCATTAAAACAATACTAGATGTTAACAATATATATATATTTTTTTTTATTAACAGATGACTCCAAGATGCTTATTAGTTGGTCATACTGCTCCAGTTCTTTGCCTAGCACATGCCAGTATTATCCCTGATAATGCATTCTTTGTTAGTTCATCCGAAAATGGGTAAGAAATATGAATTGAGTGTTAATTTCTATTATAAAATTACTAAATAAGGGAAAACATATCTTATTTAAATTCTATTGATTTTAGTGAAATGAGTACTTGGGATATAGTTGATGGAAAATGTAGAGAAGTTACAAAATCAATTTATATTCATACAAATATTCAGGTTAACGTCAATTTTTGAATTATTATTTATTATTTGATAAATATTTTAATTAATATTTTAAATAGGCATACCGTATGGTTGGGACAGAAGATGTACGTTTATTCTGCAATGGATATTATGCTGAGGTCATCATAATGAATCCATTCACATTAGAAATTATTTTCTCTTTATCATCACGTGTCAATCCTGACTGGATAAGTGCTCTATATGTATTGAAGCCTCATACGTGTAAAGGTAATTATAAATGTATTTGCAATTTCTCAAAGTGCTTTAAGTATTTAATTATTTTTATTTTTAGATGATGTTGTTTTGGGATTAACTACAACTGGAACAGTAAAAGTGTGGACCTTAGAGCCAAGAGATTATGGACCTACTGATGTTTCAGTATTTGAAAATGAAAGCAAACAAATCAGATGCCTTAATGCTTTGACTATGGCTTGCTGTTCTCAACACCAAAGAACTGTGTTAATTGTCTGTTCTAAGTGTTGGCAGGTTAATATAATATTCAACGTTTATTATAATAATTCATAATATTTAGTTTAAAATTATAGGAATAATATTAAATTTTATTGTATTTACTTATAGATATATGATGCTGGTGATTTCTCAGCTTTATGTACAGTCTATGCACCTCGAGGAGTACGTTGGTTGGGTGGAGAATTTTTAGCACCTGATCGCGTTCTTATTTGGACAGATGATGGAAAAGGTTATCTATACAAACTACCAGCAAAGTAATTATCTTATTTAGTCCCATTATATAAATATTATACAATTTTATTTATTTTCATAATATAGTAGTATCGTTGAAAATAAAAACTTCCATAAGCAAGCCGAGGATGGTGATATTCCCTATTTGTACAGTTTATTATCTGTAACTTCAAACACGGTATCGTTACTTTTTAATATTAAATTTAGATTATTGTATAGTAACGTTTTAATTTTTTTAGATGTATATAATAAAGAAGGATTTATAAAATTATATATTATTTTATATTTTAGCACTTATACTGTTCTCCAGCTATTCGGTTTTATGAATCTTTTCAACATGGAAAAATATTAATAAGAGGCGATTCAGAAGGAGCTGTTAATATTTGGAAAATTCCTGAACTTTCTCCAGCTCAATTATCAATTATAAAAGAAAATGACCCTCAAAAAAAATTAATTGGTAAAGTAGAGTTAGAATTAAGTTACAATTGTCTATATATTATGTTATATATATAATATATTTAATGTCAAATAGGCCTTTCTCCATTTGTAAGTACAAGCTTATCTAAGGCATGGGAATCTATGACACCCAATCCTGTTGGAATTCTCAACCAATTGGTAAATATCAATGTTATTAACTTAGTATTGTGATAAATATAAATTACATTAGTTTATCATTTGTTTTATTTTAGGACTGTGAAAATGCACCAAATATCAAGTTGACTGCTAGTATATATTTGGCTGGTCAAAGTCGTCTAGTCATTGGTCGTCAAGATGGTTCTATAATTATCATTCCAGCTACTCAAACAGTAATGTTGCAATTACTACATGGAAATCATCAACATTACAAAGGTACCTAAATATATTAATTATTTTTACTTTACTTAAATGTGAACGAAAATATTTATTTTATGAGGATACTAATTAAAATAAAATCCATAATTGTACGTTGTAATGGTGTAAAAAATTATAGTTTAGTAAAAAGAAAAAACTAACTTTTAGAAACATATAAAATTATTGTTGATCAATTATAATGTTTGCTAGCATAATAAATAATTGGTTTATTTTTTTTTAGATTGGCCTCCACATCAGATCTTACTGGGCCATAATGGTCGAGTCAATTGTTTGCTCTATCCGCATCATATGCATCCAAGATACGACAAATCCCATTTATTATCTGGTGGAGTAGACTTTGCTATATGTTTATGGGACTTATATGCTGGAACATTACTGCACAGATTTTGTGTTCATGCTGGGGAAATAACACAACTTCTAGTCCCACCCAATACATGTGCTAATGTTGGTATTTTTCTTATTAAAAGTGAATTTAATAATAATTAATATTAATATTTTTTTTCTCTAGCCTAGAATATTGAAATGCATTTGTTCAGTTGCTAGCGATCATTCTGTTACTTTGTTAAGTTTGTCTGAACGCAAATGTGTGGTGTTAGCATCCAGACACTTGTTTCCTGTTGTTACAATTAAATGGCGTCCATTAGATGATTTTATGATTGTTGGTTGTTCTGATGCCACTGTTTATGTTTGGCAAATGGAAACTGGTATTTATTTAAATGACTTATATTTTATTATTTTTATTGATTTTAATGTTACCTATACTACAAATTACAATGTTTAGGTCACTTGGATAGAGTGTTGCATGGAATTAGCGGTGAACAAGTTCTGTATGCATGTGACGAAAATACAACCATATCTAGTTCAGTTGATTCAGGTTTGGCTAATCCTGCAGTGCATTTCTTCAGAGGATTACGTCATCGTAATATCAGTGCTATCAAACATGCGACACAGGTAAAATGGTTTTATAAATTTAATATAATTCCATATTCTTATTGTGCTTATTTACAGATTGTGTACTATTTTATAATGAATAATAAATGTTATAAAATTTGGTTTAATTTTTCCTATTCAAACATTTTTTAAATTTTTATTTCAGAGAGGAATCCATCAATTGCAACAAATGCATCATTCAGCTCATTCTGATGGCACTGATCATAGTAAAACAAGAGCTTATCCATTAATGGTACAAGGTCTTCGAACTAACCCTAACGATCCAGAATGTCATATATTATGTTTTGATATTGAGGCTCTTGTTGGTCAGTTAAGTTTAAGATATCCATTTTAAATTGCAATTAAATTTCTAAATAAATTCAATAAACTGAACTGTAAATAAAGAACATGCATTGAATAGTRCACTCTTATTAACACCTGGAGTTAGCCATTTTAATTCTATTAGATACAATTTTATTGGAATTATATCAACAAAAATAATATTCTTAGTTTTAATATTATTTTAATGATACAGAATAATGAAAACTCAATTAATATGGCACTGTTTGATAGTGGTTCAAGTTTGATAATCTTTAGCATGTCCCTTATTTTTAGTTTATTTGCTAATGGCTATGTGTGATAACATTCCATATTAACATAATATTTTTATTTTATGTAAGTGCAACTGTTGAGTGAAGAATATGGATTGATGTCTCCAAAAACCATGGAAGCACAAGGTCTGTTAAATGCAACAGAATTTCAAAAAATAACTGCTCTAACTCAGTCTGTATCTTCTGATGCTCATAAAAAAATTGCAGGTACACAATCATCAAACATTAACCATTATCAAAAATTAATAATTATGTCGTGATGTTTTGCAATTGTTTTCTTAATTTTTTATAAAACATAACACATGTGTTTAGCAAACCCCCTAACATAACTATTTTATTTTTTAAAATATAACTACATATTTCAAGCCATTTAAAATCATGGTATAATTATAACTTTTGAACATGAGGGTTTGCTAAATTAAATTATATCTTTAATAATATTGAAATATTTTATGCTTGCTTACTTTTGGATAAGACTTTTTTGGAAAAGTTAAGGACAAAGCTGACAATATGGAACGTATTTTGAAAGAAAAAGATAAACATGGTAAATGAGCATGATGCCTAATGTATGTTCTACAAATATCTTTGAATACATCAGTTTTATTAAAAAAATTTAAATTTGCATATTTGAATAAATTTTATTGGTAAATAGTCTTGTTATGTTTCTAAGAAACTAAAAAATAGTATGGTTATATTTCACTCATTTAAACATGACTAAGTTATTATCATTAAGCATGGTTTTGATTTCATAAACTTCAAACAAAATTAAATTATTTTTATTAGTTTATATTATAATTTTCCAAAAATATTATTTAAAGTATTAGATGTTTTTATCTTGCTTGTATGAGTTTTGTTTGGAACTTATTGTATTGTATGTGATATATTTTTTATTTAATTCAATATTGTGATGTGATGTCAATGTTATAATTATTGTAGGAATTTTACCTAAAAGAAAGGATGGTTCAGAAACTATACTAACAAAACTACAGTCTGTAATTGAAGGTTTTGATAGCAAATCTAATGATAAAGGTATTGTTGTATACTAAACTATATTTTATGAAGGACTTGCTGCAACAATCAGATAAATTCAAATAGATAAATCTATCAAAATAATTTTTTTTTTCAAAGTTAACAACGAGTATAATTATTTAAAGAATCATGAACAAAATTAGTCTTAACAAGTATTGTCACTAAAAATAACTATCTTGGTACTGGAATTTTTTAAAAAGTGAATTTTTAATTGCTACAGCAAGCCCTTCATATGGTTATATTAATATTATTTAACACAGTTTTTATTTAATTTGAGAGGATCTAGTGAACTTTTTTCATTGTTGAAGATTTAAATACATAATTTAATTATTTTTATTTGAAAATAAAATACTAAATGTAATATTCTATTGTCCACATTCAGGTTTGAATCTTAGTGGAGTAGTATGTCGTAAGGTATGTGGTGCAAATTTGACAATGGAAATTGCCCAATTGTTGATGTCATTACTTTATGCATGGGGGTTAGATTTCGAAGTAGATAAAATTTGTGAAACTAAACTTGGATTATTACGCCCGATGATACCTGTATCGTTTGGAGTTATTTCAAAAGGAGGTATGTTTTGAAAAATAAAATAAAATAAACCATTATAGTTATTGTGAAATCACTATTTTTATAGGTTTTATGAGCTTACTATTGCCTACATGGCAAAGTAGTATTGATCTTGAAGATAATTATGTTAATTCCAGTAATGGTCCACTGATGGATTTACCTCCAGAGATGGTTCGACTTGAATTATTAACTAGGCTTTTCACTGCGAGAACTCACTGGGAAGTAAGCACTACAGTAACTAGTCAGCATTTACTTGCTATAGTGGCTATAGCTAATACACTAATATCAATAAATGCTCCATGTTTCCTTGAAAACACATTCTCAAGGTAATACAATATATTAGACAAATTCATTGAACAACATATTTTGTGACAGAATTACTGAATTAAATGTTAGTTAATTTAGTTTTAAAATATCAAAAATTATTGTTTGTTATTAAAGACAACAATCTGTGAAAAGTCGTTCAGAGGAAGGAAACGGTGAACAGAGTACTTCACAGGTTGCTTTTGTCAAACAAGGATGGATACAACTAAAGACGTTACATTGTAAATCATTGCCTGAAAAAATTGTCAATCACGGTTCAAAGAGTTACAAACGAATACAAATTGAAATGCTAGCACACCGTTGGCAACACCATTGTTTAGAGGTTATAATAGCTAATTACGATTTATAATATATGTTATACCAACAATTATTAATAGATCAAGGACCATAAAACTAACAAACATGTACTTATAACATAAGTTTTAAAAAATGTTTAGTATGTAAAATAAACTGAAATTAACTATTAAAATAATAGGTGCGAACAGCAGCTCAAGAATTGTTATTAGCAGAATTGGAACGTATTGGACCTAAAGGTCGAAAAACATTAGTAGAATTCTGGGTTCAATATTTACCAGTAAGCAACTCTAATGGTAGCATGAAACCTACTGCAGTTAGCTCTAACAATTTAACCAATCTAAACATTAATGTAAGTAACATTAATAAATGCTTTTAACAAATACATACATCATTAGTATTTTTGTACACCATTTTACAATTTTTTTCTTATTCCTTAATTAAGATTAGTATAAACTAATTACATTCTACACTATGGAATTTGTATTTACTAAATAGACTGATATAGTCAGCCCAATCATATGTACAAACATTTTTTCATGCATTAAAAAAGATACTAATTTAAATTTTAATGTAATGTTGACTTTGTAACAATGTCTTTAAAATTGTATTAATATATAATTTATTTTCTGTATCGTTTATCAAAGTAATAATACTTGACAAATATTTGTATGCAGTTTTAGTTGATTGATATCAAAAACATGATAATATGACAAAAAAGAATACTTTTTTTTATACCTTTTGCATCTAACTATTGCTTTCCTAACAAATATAAATCCCAGCTTCTTTTCAGTTAACTTTAATTTTGAAATATGTATATGTCTATAAATAAAAACTGTTTTTGAATAGGAAGAGATGTTGTGTAATTTTTATTATATTATTGTAAAACTAATCTTATTGTCTTATAGGAAAATGTTGAATCGTCGGCAAACATTCAAGATGATGATGACGACGATGAAGAAGAAGGTCAGAATTTATTTTAATGCATGGTATCCCAGTTATTTATTTTTTTCTCATCTTTCAGATCTATGCTTAAGAAAACCATCATCTTTAAGTGAATTGCGTCGTAAACAGTCTACAGCTGTAATCTTGATGGGTGTGATAGGAGCTGAGTTTGGCCAGGAAGTTAATGCATCAGATAATGTTAGCACATCAAGCCGGTCACAGCCTGGATCATCTATTAGAAGAAAAAGTTCAATTGTGGAAGGTTTTGGTATAGGAAACAATAATTTATCAAGACTAACAAGTATGGTTTTTTACAAAAACTTTAATTATTTGACTTAAAATGGTATGCTAATATTAATTTTAATAGGTTTGGCATTAACTCAATTGCTTTTAACACCATCTTCTACCAAATTGCCTACTCACATGGCGCTACGAAGAGCAGCAGTAGATTTGATTGGACGTGGTTTTGCTGTATGGGAACCTTATTTTGATGTCAGCAAAGTGTTATTAGGGATATTGGAATTGTGTTGTGACAATGACAAACTGGTTCCTAGGTAATTAATTTTCTTATACATTAGAATGGTTTACATAAATTAACTTGTTCAAAAAATATGATCGAGAGAGCCAATCTATTAAATTTTAATAATCAACTAAATAATCGGACCAGTAAGGATATGTACTTAATTGTTTGTATTCACATCTATTTTAACTATACAATTTCTTTTAGCATGTCTTATGGGTTACCTTTGACACCTTCTGCTGATTCATACCGAACTGCTCGTCATGCACTCATATCAATAGCAAATGTTCGCCCTGCTGTGTTCATAACAACTATTGCAAGAGAGGTCTGTTTATATTGTTTATATAATCAGAAACAAAATATGAATTTAAATTAAGATGTTACTAATCATAATATATGTGTAATAGGTGGCTCGTTACAACAGTATGCAACAAAATACTCAGGCTATGAATATAGCTATAAGTAATTCCGTTTTACACAGAGCAAAACCAGAAATTTTATCTATTGTGGAACATTTGATCGAGAAAATGCATGTTGAAATGACAGATTTATTAGTGGAGGTAAATTAAATTGAATTTAAATTCTTCCAATATTTAGGAAATAATAATTGTTTATATATTAATATGCAATCACTTTTCTTACCTATTTCTCTGCTGACATAATAACATGTGGTAGGAGAAAATAGATGGAAAGATAACTATCAACTAGACTTGCAAGAAACAATTTGTTGCATATAATATGATGATAGGAAAAATACAACAAAAATAAGAACATGTCAGTAGCACCTGTTAAAGATGTTAAGGTTCCATCTATTTAGGAAAATATGAATACCTTTTTGTTTTATTATTCCAGAACTAAATACATATGAAATATTAATAGCAGTAACCTAACAAATGCATATAATTCAAGAAAATTATAATAAATTATTGTTTTTAATTCAAATGCTTATCAAATGACCATGTGTGATTGTTTATAACTTATAGACACAATAAATAAAATTTGAAATACCTGTTTTTCCTATCTACAATACCCTTACAAATAAAAAGAGGAGAAGTACAAATTATGATACCTAACTGTGTTTATGATAAGGAATGTAATAGTTTAGATAATGTTAATTTTACAATTATTGAAATTGTTTTATAGTCAATTTTTGACCAATGAGCAGTACTAGTAGTTTTAAATAAATAAATTGCTTAGAATTATCAGTTGTTTTTTTTTCTAGGTAATGGATATCATACTGCATTGTGTAGATCCAACACAACTGAAAACTCGTCCTTTATCTGAGATTTCTCCAGCTATAAGCAGATATGGCCAGGTGACCCATTGTTCAACATCTAGACGTATAGCTGTGGGTACCAAAAATGGCACAATTGCTTTATATGAATTGAGATCGTCAAAATGCCAGGTTCAAAACTAGCTTTTTATTCAATGTGGATTGGTAAAATTATAAAATTTATTCTTCCACAGACCATTAATGCACACACTGCAGCTATTTGTGCATGTGCATTTTCACCAGATGGCAAATTCCTTGCATCATATAGTGCAGCAGAAAACAAATTATCATTCTGGCAAACATCTACTGGTATGTTTGGTTTAGGAAACAGTCAAACTAAGTGCACTAAATCATATAGCACTCAGAAGAAAGATTCGATACGTGCCAATCAACTACGGCAAATCAAGTTACACTGGGCAAGTAACCGCAGTGTCCGATTTTTTTCAGATGGGTTAGAAACAACATTTGTTATTTAAATTGTAAATTCAATTTAAATGCAAATAAAGAAAAATGTATTGTTGTGTTGATAATAAAATTTTTATTAGATTGAAAAGTTTTTGGTAACAATAAATTTCTCATGGTTTTATTATTTAGGCATAATAACGTAATAATAATTTATGATATTATACAATATACATGTATAAGTATCATTATTATAAACCTTTTCATCTTTATAATTTTTAAGTTCTTTTTTAGTATAATCTTTTAAATGTTAACATATTATTTTAATATTACCCTAGGACATCATATTATTATCTATTTAGACATCAAATTTATTTCTAATAATTAATATGAGTACATTTTCAGTTCTATCACTATAATATAAATGATTCAATCCCTGATGTTAATTTATTACTATTATTATTATTATTATTGTTATTATTGTTCCATTTAATTCAATTTATCTTATTATGTAGTGGTATTATAGATCTCATATGTGATTTTTTTTTAACTATACAATATATCGTATATGTAGATAACTTTATAAGTTATAACTTAAGCTAATCATTATTGTATGTTTAATGAATGTCGTTCCACGTGTTGTTAAATTTAAATAAGCCATTTATACAAAGTTTAAGTAAAACTATAAAAGCTTAGAAAATTAAATTACGGAAATCATTTTTTTTTAAACATATATATATATATATATGTATAATTATTATTATTTAACATAAATATTAAATTTATATGATCTATTAACAAATTTTAAAATGTGGATATTTTGGTTTTTTAATAATCTATTTAAATTAACTAATAACTCAAACAATAAACATGTATTTTTGGTCAGATGTATACACAACTTAGCAATACTCCTATAATTATTTAATTTTCTTAACTTGGACTTTTATTTGTTAGTTGCCAAATAGTTACTTTTTTAATGAGTAGTATTTTTTTCTCAAAGTTTTGAAGGTAAATACAAATATTGTTCATGGTTTTTGATTTTATTCCACAAAATATTTTTATAGTGTAATCTAAAATTACTAATAATGACCATACACAGTTAAAATTTAAAATTTGAATTTTTTAATAGATCCAATTGAATTTAATCTATATATATATATAAAATGTTTACAATATCATAAATTAATCACATTATGTTTAATGGACAAAAGTGCTAATAGTGGAAAATATTAATATTGTTGTATCACTCCTATAGGCTTACTCTACATTCCACATAAGTTGCCTAGTGCCAACATTTTTAGAAAGAGATAGCTTGTTTTCCAACAATTTTTGCCTACCAACCTCCCTCCTTTTATTAGCTGTTAGCACATATCTTTATTATATGTTATGATCACTCCATATCTGCTCTTATTTTGTTAAATTTAAAATGTTGTGAAGTACAAAAAGTAGTGTAGATGCACAATAGCTTGATTTTTTTGCATTTCTAATAGTATTGGTAATTTTTTTTTGATACGTTTAACTTTTTAATTTGTTATATATATATATATATATATATATAATGATACATTTATATAGATATAATAATACATTTCCTATGATTTTTGTTATAATAACCATTAATCAAATATAAAATTGTTATCAATGAATATAATATGATATAAGCACACAACACACCTAAATATTTACATAATTTCAGTATAATAATTAATAATGTTCATATTAGTTTAATATTTAGCTTCCTTTTTCATACAAATATTTTATAGGTATATACATAAAATTAACTTGTATGCTAATTTCCCAAAATAAGCCATTTAATAACATTAAGAATGCCTACTGCTGCGATTTAGTTAAATAGCAAGATTCCAATTATTCTTATCCCTTGCTATTCTTTTTTTCAAAAAGGATTTTTAAAAATGTTGTTATTAAATTGCCTAAATGTGTGAGAACTACGCTTATTTATCTTATGTATTTACCATTAACAATATTACTATTATAGATATTATTATTACTATTAATATTATGTAAGATGTATTGGTTTAGAATTTTAAATTGATTAAGTGAAGAAAAAAATTACCTAAATAACACATACTTAAAATTTATAAATATGTGTCAATAATATCACACTTGTTATTCCAAATATATCACAATTTAAATTACCTATATGTTTATTGTGTCTCTTTTGTTACACTGGTATAGTGGATAATCCAAAATAATGTGCTTATAATCCTAAAATTATTTCTTTTGCCAGTAACATCAATAACAAGAATCTAATTGAAATTGTCTAGAAAGTTCAATTACTGACTTTTTACAATCAATACCAATAATGTTGAGGTCTTTAGCATGTCAGATTATTTTTTTTTTTAATGTAAAAAAGATGTAAAATGAAAATGAGAATCTATAACAGCCATTTCTAGTAAAACTTATTTCTAGTTGTGAAATAAATATAGTTCTAGGCATCTGTCCAGTGTCATTTAGTGGAAGTTTAAAATAAGAGGAAAATTATTTGTATGAATGTCAGAATATTGAAAAATCATAACCAATGTAACATAAATAAACAATAATTAAATATAATCATTTACCTGATGACAAAAATATTTATAAAATATTTGTTAAAATTAAAATGAATTCATTAAATCATTTTAATTACAATCTCGATATCTACCTATACTGTTTTAAAATATGCGAAGGTAATAATTGTTTTATTTCTGATGTAGTTATATATTTTTTAACATTAAGTAGGTACAATTAATTTAATTGTACATTTGTGTAACCTAATAAAAAATAAAAATTTTAAAACAAAATGTTTATTCAAATTAGATTCACTAGCATAACATTTGCTAAGTCCACACATCAAGTTTTTAACTTTATTTACCTACCTTGTCTAAACTGGTATGATTATTTCTCAAAAACCTATAGTTTTATTTGATTACTTTTTAATTTTAAAATATGAGTTTTGAAAATTAAAGAATACTTACACAAACAAAACCGTCTAAATTAATTAAATAAAAAATCAGTCAAGTAAGACCAATATTTAGTAGGCGAATATGCTGCTCTACGTTTAGTAGGGATCCAATTTTAAAATCGAATAAATAACCCAAAAATGAAAATATTATTTTAAAAAAGCAAAAATTAAGCATATTTAATTATAAAAAAGCATTACCAAAAAGTAATATGAATTAGTTGTAAAACTGAATAAAAAAAATGAAAAATTAATTTAAACGTCTTGATTCTTCTTCTTCTCTCGTGTCCCGGAATCACCAAATTAAATTCTGTTTCCCCAGTAATCAGCAACATATATTGCCTTGTAATTTGCCAAAATCAGGTCGTCTTTCGTGCACTTATTAACCTTCAGATTGAGGCATGTCAATAAATGTTCGTAGTTTTGCGTCATTCCACAGTCACACTTATCATCTGCACTGAAACCCCACTTCATGAGCGACGCCTTGCAACTGGTGGTTCCCGTTCTGAGGTGATTAAGGGTTTTACATGTAAGGAAGGATAGCTGGAAGCCAGCGGATCCTTCCTCCTTGATTTCCAGTGGGTAGCTGGTCACTTCATCTTTCCACAGGTCAAGTCGTCGAGCTTTAGGTTGAGTTTCAGCTTACTTATCAATTTTAAGAAACTTTTCCGAGACTTGAGCCTGGTTGGTTGAAATGGGTGTGCATACATTGAGTGTCGAGAGTCTTCTTGTTTTGTTTTTTTAACCTCTGCAGCTACTTGCCTTTGAATTTCAGGTGGAGCTATTCCGATGATAGGATAAATATTGCCTATGACTGTTGGCATCAGATATCCCGAAATGATGCGAGTGGTTTTGTTAATTGCTGCATCCACCTTCTTTGCATGGGCTGAGTTCTTCCAGACTGGAGCGGCATATTCTTCTGCAAGAGAGGGATAGTACTAGCCCCGTCGTTCGTAGGACATGGGGGTGGGCTCCCCAAGCAGATCCAGTGAGCTTCCGTAGTATGTTATTTCTGGCATGTACTTTCATTTTTGTGTCTTGGCAGTGGTGTTTGAATATGAGTGCTCTATCCAGTGGCGCAACTAGGGGGGTGCAAAAAGGTCTTTAGCACCCCCAAGTTAAAATTTAGCACTCCTTATTTTTGTATATAATTATTATTAAATACCTAATACTATGAATTTTATGTTTTTTAAATGATGGGAAATTTCCTGAAAAAATTTATAACTGTTTGGTCGTACATAAATACATAAAATGATGTATTGATTAATGTAATTGTCTAAGTGCATGGAGGTGTGGGGGGCTTTTCCCCTAACGTCTCTGTGATGTATTCACAGATTAAGCACCCCTCGTTTTAGGGATCTAGTTGCGCCTATGGCTCTATCCAACTTCACTCCTAAGTATTTTGGAGTATCACAGTCCTCAAGCTCTTGGCCTTTCCAGCTGACATTAAGTTTCCTCTTGGCTTGTCGGTTTCTGAGATGGAAAGTGCAGATCTGAGACTTAGGAAGGGTAGGTTGGTAACTAGTCCCTCTAGGGCTATTATTAGTTTTCCTTCTACTTCCTCGGAGGTCTTGTCTTGTGCAGTTACCGCTGTGTATAAGTGTTCAGCGGTTGGTCGTTGGTGTATATGTTGAACAATATTGGGGCTAACACGCTACCTTGCGCAAGACCATTCTTCTGTGTTCTACAACTACTGTTCTTGTCATGAAGCACTACGAAGAAGCGCCTATCTTGCAGCAAACACCCTATGAACCTGATCAAGATGTAGTCTTTCGTTACTTTGTRTACCTTCTGAGCAAGAACTTTATGGTTGACAGTATCATAGGCAGCACTAAGGTCTAAGAAAGCTACTCCGGTCACTTGACCTCTTTCATAACCATCTTCGATGTACTGTGTTGAGCACCTGACCCCAACATGACCTCCTTGGTCTAAAACCTGCTTGTTCATTGATTAGAGCCTTGTCTACGTAGTCTGAGATGCGTTTCAGTATCATCCTTCCTGGTCTTTGAAAAGATGGCAGAGTAACGATATTGGTCGGTAGTTCTTGGCTTCTGTGGGGTCTTTACCTGGTTTCAGGAGGGCAACGACACGAGCTTTCCTGATTTGCATGCTGGTCACGCAATTGTCCATTAGCTCAAGTATCCACGCCAGTGTTCTTTGGCCAAAATATTTGATTTGTACGACTCTGAGTTCATCTATGCCGGCTGCTTTATAGTCTTTCATGTCTTGCAAGCTCCCGAAGAGAGAAAGGGTGGATTAAGAAATTGTTCTCTTTGGCAACGTCTCTCCGGATCTTAGTGTCCCTGAACTTATTTTTGGATTTCCCATTTATTAGTAGCTGGTGTGCAACTTGGTTTGCTGTAACACCACTTAGTTGTGACTGAGTCTTTAGCTTGTAAAGCTAAAATATCACAGTCGCTCCTTTTAAATAAGTCACTTGATAAAATTTCCTTATTTACAGAAAGTCCCTCTATATTGCACGAGGTTGTCAGGAGAGTTGGTCTTGATAAAAACCGTTTTAAAGACTCGTGGGGAGTTTTTTTGGTATTCTCTTTGGGTTATGGAGATGCGGTGGTTGAAGGATTGGCCGACACAGTTTCCTGTGTCGTTTCCAGGGGGCGCCCGATTGCTTTGCTGTTTTCGTGTAGAACGAGTGTTGATCGCAATCTTCGTGGAGGCTCCTTCAATACCCCCTCTCCCCCCAACGTCTTGATAATTTGATGCAAATGTCTTCATAAGTTTTTATTTCAGAAATCTAAAAATACTCTCACACTTTTTAGACATATCATGTTCGAAATCAATTTTTGACAAAAATTTGATATTTAAACGAAATCTAATAATTTTAAGTACTTCGTTGTTATTAAAAAAATATTATTCATATGAATCATGAAACTTTTCAAAATAATTAGATTAATAATTTTGTTATATATTTATATATAAGGGAGGAACTACGAATTTATTCACACCATTCTACGACGTATCGGTAGCTTCATCCCCTAAAAAAATCCTAAATAAGCATACATTTATGTACTTAAAATTAGCAAAATATACCTTAAAAAGTTTAAAAATATGCATTTATATGCATTAAATATCTAAAATTATGCACTTAAAAAAACCTTAAACAATTTTTGAAATATAATATGAATTATCTATTCATTTTTTTATGTCACAATTAAAATAAAAATGTTTAAATTATCACGTTATTTTTTCGACAAATGTTGATTATTTCATAGTATTTTCATAAAAAAAAAATGCATATTGATAAAATAATATGAATAGGAATATCAAAATCATGTATAATATGCCGGATAAAATAGAAATATGCCAAATAGACAAAAAAACATACAAAATAAGACCACATATTTAACCGTTGTACCTTGAAATGGATTTCTATGTCATTTAGCATTAAATATAACTTAGCAAGATTGATATGCAAATCACAAGCTCACAAAGTCACAAACTCACAAGCCCTGATTACAATGATATTAAAATAATAATTTAATAAAATCTGTTTGACTATTCCCCAAATTATACTTGGCATATTTTTTTAAATATTTTAGCATCTTTTGATCGGATACGAAATGAACATAACTAATCTGTAAACCCCTGTTTTCAAAATGATTTTGTAACTTCGGTCGATCGGATTCAAAAAAACCAAATGAATATGATATCATACAATGTATATTGAGATGGCGGTCAGCCTCCATTAAAATTAGGTATTCTTAATGACCGTTTATATTTTTGTATGGGCCCCATAGAAATAACCACTTAACATATTTCAGAGGGGTAATTGCCCCTCCGAACCACCTCTTAAATACGACCCTGGTGCTTGGTATGTGATGACTCTGTTGTAGACGACTCTACCTATGGACACGAATACGGAATAACATATAAGTTATGTGGGCGACGAAAAATTGTATTTTGTTTACTTTTGGCCAAATCTATATATTATGACGGCCGACAGAGACAGCTATACAACATCCGCAATAGGTATGTTATCAGAATAACAGTATTAGGTAGGTACCCTGCAACCGAAACTATCACCGGATCGTCGTTACATCCCCTCACCATCCCGCACGTGATAGTTAAGGGGGACGACGCAGACGAACGTCATCAGCTGCCYGAAAAAATCAATACTCACCACCACCACCACCACCACCACTACTACCGCCACTACCACCACCCTCTCGGTCACGACTGCAGAGGATGTACGCATACAACGATCTACCGTCGTCGCCGCAGACCGCGTGATAACAGAACAGTAAATAACATCAACACACGCCTTATCAGAGTTGAACTATAGTTCAAAAACCTCCGTAACAGCCACCGCTGTGCCGTGGACGACGACCACCGCGACGACGACATGCCAACCAAATATTACTCAGTGTACAGTCACCGGTACATGATCAGCAGGTAAGCCATACACGCGCGTAATAATGTGTTGGGTAGGGGTAATATGTAGGTTATGAGGTAGTACCTATCTATACCTCCATTGCATAGGTAGCCATACGAATCGTCAATTGCCACCGCCGACGACAATATTGSACCAATAATCGCCAATACAATGTATAATATTAATTGAACTTTTATACCGTAAAACCATTTTACGTAAGAGTAGTGCGGTATTCAATCGGCGTGCTTCAAAGGGCCCGCAAGAAATGATCGGACATGATATGATGGTCAATTTTTCATGGGAAGGGATATTTTGACAATATACTGGTATCATAGCATACCTTTGCAGAATTGCAGCGATGTCGAAAGCTTGTCAAAAATGGAACTGTTATAGCCTTATAGGTATACCTATTGTAACATGGGTAATAACGTTGTACCTAGTACAATAATAGTACTTTTTTTATAATTGTACGTATTTCGGATATTTATAACTTACTTTTTAAATTAGTTATAATTTCAATAATTATTACTAATATAATAATTAATAATACAAATTTCCTATATATATATATCATATATAACTAACCTATTATGGTTGTAGGACACTTTATACGGTCACCTAGAAAAATTTTAAAATCTCGGAAAGATTATACTATTTCGGGTAGGAAAAAAATTATGCATATCACATAATTTGTTATTACAAGACACAGGTATAGTTAACAGGCATAAATAAAAATAATAGGTAATAATTATGGTTATTTTAAGAAATTCATGTTACATGAATTTTCTTMAAATCTGGTTCTGAATCTTTTCATGAACTGTAGACAGAAGAATTTGATTTTTTGATTATCTACGATTAATAGTCCGGCTATTCATATTGGTTAGGACAAGGTTTTTCAGCTATAATATTTTATCCCTCGAATCGTGGTTATAATCAGTCCATTTTGTGAATAATTCACACTATGACATAAATAAAAATATTTAAAAATWATATTATAAATATGAAAATAATATGATTTATATTTTACAACTTATAACTCATCGGTTCATAAAGTTTTTTTAGTAACTTTACTTGTACAAGTCACTTTTTAACAATTCCAACGTTCCAACAATCCAACAAATATTTGATTTATTTATTCTCAAAATAGCATATATAGTCATACTATTATTTAAACATTTTTGGATTTAATTTTGTAGTTTGGTTTTGGTGGTATAGTTTAGAGTGAAATTATATATGTATTATGTTCTACTGATCTATTGKGTCACAAAACGCGATCACGATTCGTATAATGTATGAATGCATTATTAGAGCTATTTAATATTTATGTTTCATATTACGTGAACGCATTTATCGTCTGGCAAATCTTCATTTGAATTCCATATCATACTGTTTTTTCTCATAATTTGTGCAAAAAATAAGAACTTGTATAATATGCTCTCGTGTACAAAGWATTATAATACCTTATTTTTATGGGTATATATTTGGGTACAGGCGTACAGCAAACCTACTTGTGTTGGTGTCGAATAAATTGCCTATTGAGYACTTATATTGGAATGCCATTGCATTGGTTTTGCGTTAATTGAAAACCATTGCTCTTATTATTATTCATTACTATAGTATGTAATAACTAGAATTAAATTTAAAATATGTTTTAATAGTGAGTTAATAGTGAACATTTCAAGTACTTATATAATTATCTTTATTAATTACCTTATGTTTATAGGTAAGTTACAGAAAAAAACTTTTAAAAATGTTATGTYAAATGATAAAACAGTACAAATCAAGTAATCRCATAGCTATACTAAAAGTAAAGGTTGTATAGATACATGTCAAATTAATAACATTTAACTAATTTAAATTAAAATTWTGATATAGTATATTATTATTGTAATAGTATAGTATAGGTATAGTCTATAATGTCATAATGGACGTGTTCTAGCTTATTTTAGTTTTTCTTCGATTTAAAATATATATTTTAGTTAAAATAAATTCAAATTTTAAATTGTAAATAAAYTTAAAGCAATATCATACTGACATTTGACATAGTTTTAATAATATTTCAGATTAAAAAAATCTGATAAAGAGTAAATTTACTTGGACGTATGAATAATTAAAGAGAAACGACGTGTTAGACTCTGTTAGGTCGCCACTAATTTTATAATTGTTTAGTTTATAGTGATTACTAATCACTGATGAGACTATGATAATATAATTAATAGTGATGATATAAACACGCATAAGTCATWAATCATAATATATAAGGTCATAATTATTATAATATAAGAAATTTATAATCTACATTTTCATGATGAATGAATGTTACATTATCATCGCCATTATTTGTTTTACATTCTAGTTCTTGGTTTTCCAGTAATTAAKTGTGTGTTTTTTTTTGTCTGATGTCGTTTTTAATAGCAGTAATTAGATTCAAATTGGATCTATTTGGTATTATAAGGGGATCGAACGTAAACTATTTCAATACATTTCAATGTTATTTTTAAAAATTGTTATCGTTTTTTGAATGATATTTAAAATGGTCACTCTTTTTTTAATGTTTGATAAAATAAATGATTAAGATATTTAAGAATGATGTTGTTTATGAGTAAAAATGCTTGACATGGTTTATCACTAGTTTAGACCTAAATAATATATTTATAAATAATATATATTATGTAAAATTGTCTTTTATAGACTTTTAAAATTACAATTTTAACAGAACTGAGCATTAAACGTAAAATATCATTTTTAATTATTTTACTGTAGGTAATTCAAAACATATTATCATTCTTGAGGACTTGAAACTTTTAACCATTACTTAGGTATATAATTATTTAGGTCCTAACTCAATAAAAAATATTTTCAGAATAATAAAGCTAATGATACCATAACATAACATAACATATTTACACTATTCTACGGTATGTCGGTATCTATCTAGTTGTTAATATATCTAGTAATATTAGGTATAATATTAAATTTATTATAAAATATACATGATATTTTTCAGAAAAAAATAGTTCAACTTATATAATTGGCAACATTTCTAATAACATGACTATTGACTATAGATTACTAATATGCAATAGCAATATAAATATAAAATAWTTTTTTTAAATATATAATGCAAGCTTGGGAAAAAATTGGAACAAAATTAAATATCTATACTATAGAAAATTAAAAGTAATACATCACTATTTCGTGTATCTGAAATATAAGTGATTTTATTCATACATGCATAATATATTATGTACATCAAATATTATTATTAAAAAATTCTAATTCGTATAGTTTTTGATGTCGTGTATCAATTGTTTTAAATAGTGTACCGTGTGTACTAATGTCTAAATAAGAAAAACACTTTTAACTAAGCTAACAATTTAATTTTGTAGTCATCTATAAGCTTGTATACAATTGGGAACGAAAATTAGTAAAAAGCCTACATTTATATTTGATGGAGCGCAATCGTGTTGCGTTTTTTATGCAAAAAAATAAGATGGGTTCATTCGTGTTACGCTACAGCTTATTGTGGGTATGTTAAAACCATGAGCGTACTTAGGATTAAAAAGTTACAAGAGCTAGATTTTTAGAAAACCTAAGTTCTAAATCACCTWTATGAGTCTGAACGCTTCACGGCCCCACATCTATCGTGGCAAGCGTCTCCAGAATTTAAAAGTCACGAGAAATCTAAATTAAAAATAAACAATAGAATCAATCAAAGTGTAACCTCGTCATTAAAAAAAAAAAACCTAAATAATAAGATAAGTATAATATTATATTAGTTAAAAACAGATCACTAAATCTATTTTAGGTCATAGTCGACTTGATTTATGTTTTAATTCTTCTCCAGACACGAAATATAATAACCAATATTATAGGTGCGTTTGGGACACCGATCTGAAACTTGATGCATGATACTATTGATACTCATAAACACATTATTGTTTATTGTAACTAATCATCGGGAAAAAAGTGTATTAATTCAAATATAGACAATGCAAAATATAATATTTAATATAATATACAATATACTTTTATAATATAAAATTATAAATTGATAAAAAATTTCGTACATTCGTGCCTAATATTCTATTATTAACAATATGTAAACAAATACCTACAGATTTATATTTTGATAATATAATATATCAATACARTACATTTCTTCTTTAAAAACTAGAACCAATTACGACAAAGTTATACTTATATGCACAATATAAATATTATATATTGTATAAGTACATATTATGTTTCTAATTATTGATTCTTAGTTATATTTTTTCTGCGTAAAGGTTTGGGTTCCAAATACTTACAATTAAGAGCCCCAGAAAAGGTTAAAAAGTAAAACCTAATAGGGAATAAATAACAATACAACAGACTAAACCCTCTAGCCCCCTTTTTTATGCTAATAGTTAAAGGTTAATATTTTGTTATAAAATGTAATAATAATAATTGTTTAAGATTAAATACAAATTATCTTAACGCACAAAATATTACATAAGATAAATGTTCATAGAACTATGCCTATTAAATGTTGATTCAAATTAGTATTCAGAATCATTGCACTTCTATGTAAGATTTATTTTAAATTCAAACGAACATCGTKTWATCAAAACTCAATATTCTAAATTCAATATTTCTCAAAGGCACATCATAAATTGTTGTGTCTTTTGAGTTATAGTTGGCTACTTATATATCATTATCAATTCATYATTCTGTGATAAYAGTTTAATGTAGTGCAATAAGTATTGTATTGTTTAAGTTTGGTTCATAAWAATTACTTTAATTGTTTTCAACATGATTTTGAAGTATCTGAAATTAATTWTAGGTMCCTATGTGAAAGTAATGAAATTATGTACATATAAATCTCAAGTTAAATACAAAAAAGTAACAAACAATAATGTTATGTTGATTAGATATATTTTTAACAAATTCTACGTCCACTACTCACTTCTGCGTGTCCGGTCTGGGGGAAATGCGCGACYACTCACATCAGTAAATTTCAAATTTTGCAAAATAAAGTGCTACGTATTATTGCAAACGCACCTTGGTTTATAAAGAATGTAAAACCTTCACAAATACCTACAGATCCAGGAAATCATAGACCACATAAAAACCTCATCAAAAAACTTCCATACCTCACTGCTCAACTCTTCTGGCTCACTTCACTATAAACTATACGTACATCCACCTCAACGTAGATTAAAATGTGGACACACGACCTTCTGGTTTATCAACTTCGCACAATATACAGCAGCTGTTTGTTACTGGTATCGTCTATAAGCTTTATAACTTGTTATATATATATATATATTATACTATATTACTATATAATATATATATATTATATACTATATTACTATATACTATATATGTATACAGTGTGATTTTTTTATCGAAGAACACTCATTATTTAAAAAAGTATGAGTGTATGAGTATGAGTGTTCTTCGATAAAAAAATCACCCTGTATATGCCGTAGTCACTTCTTGAAATCKTTCTTTTCATGAAAAGATGACCATTTCGTGAAATGGAAACACGTTTTTACACTTTGTGAAATTCAAAAATATTTCACGAAATGGTCACTCAAACTTAACATTGTGTAATTTTTTTCATAAGGTGGTCGTTCACTTTTTGTACTGGTAAATACAACATTCAACTATATATTCTACCTTTCTTCCCTTGTAGATTTAACTTAAATAATTACGTATAGTAATGAAGTTTATTTTAYCATATTAATTTATTAACCGTATTGTGAACATTTTTTTTTTATTAATTAGAGCAGGAAAAAGAATGTGACAACGACTGTTACATTTTAGACTATACCTTTAAAACAAACACATCTTTTGGTTTGACAAACACTTTTACACGAACAACTTAAAAATCCCTGACCTCCAAATACAATTTGGACAGTTTCACGCAAGATTAATTCCTCATAATCATCATTATAATTATGACTTTTATCAAAACCAATAAGTATCATCTACACATTTCAGATAGTCTAGTAATTGCAGTATAATAGTCGTATTGAATAATTTAGATATTATTTAAGTAAGTAGTTATTGTATTATTTGACGAGGTTAATATGACGTATATAATCAAACTTGATGTTTCCGTCAAGATGTTCGAGTAAAAGTGCTTGTCAAACCAAAAGATGTGTTTGTTTTAAAGGTAGTCTAAAATGTAACAGTCATTGTCACAATTCATTTTCCTGCTCTAATAAATAAAAAATGTTCACAATACGGTTAATAAATTAAAATGATATAAATAAACTTTATTACTGTATATAATTGTTTAAGTTAAATTTATAAGGGTAAAATAAGTTGTTAAATGTTGTATTTCAGTAAACAAAGTGAACGATCACTTTGTGAAAAAAATTACACTATGTTAAAATTGAGTGACCATTTCGTGAAATATTTTTGAATTTCACAAAGTGTAAAAAACGTGTTTTCATTTCACGAAATGGTCATCTTTTCATGAAAAGATCGATTTCACGAAGTGTCTACGACATATATTGTATATATATATATATCTGTTTATACTTGTATTGTTAATATTATTATATATGTTCACTGTTACTTAAATATTATAGTCAGTTACGTCTCGGCGTAACTATCACTAATATTAATGAACACTAATTCATCTTACTGTTTAAATTTCTATATAAATTGATAATCATGTTCAAATTGTTAAAAATATACCATTGTAAATATCAATAAATGTAGATAGCCAAGGAAAGGAACATTTTATCTTATCTTATTAAAAAAAAAAAGATACATTTTTATATGGTCATTATAGCAGTGGCGGCCTGGCCAGGTCGGCGAGTCGGCGATCGCCGACTGGGCCTTTGGCTAAATGGGCCCTTACAGCCAGAGCCATTACCCGATTGAGATTATATTATTTTAAATGTTCATAAATAACTTAGTTTGTAGATATTATCTTAAATCGTGTTAGATAGTCGTATTAGCCAAAGGGGTAAAGTTAATTGAAACCTAAATAAGGTACTTACAAAAATAGTTACATATTATACATTTTTTTGGAAGAGGGGGGGTAGTAGAACTTCAAAATGATTAGGTATCTTTAAAAATGTAAAACTGTAAAAAGGCCCATAGCCATTTGCATTTGCACATTTGCTATTAGTCTTATTGGTCAGGGGCCTTTTTAAATTCTAGCCGACTAAAAAAAATGAACCCAGGCCGCCACTGCATTATAGTATATGCATTGTAATAATATTTAATAAATAATAACTAGCTATTTTTATCCAAAAATTAAAAATTAAGTTGTTTGTTTTATAAGGAATTTTACTAGAAAAAATAAGAAAAAGGACACTTTGGGACTATTGCCGGTTGTACGTGACTTGAGAAACGGGGCCRGAGATAGCGTAAGTGATCATGATAACAACAGAACGAGAAAGGACGATTCGCTCTGCGACATCCTGTCGAGTAAGCCAATACAAACGATGATAGGTTTCACGGAAATAATGTAATTTTTTCTTCGATATCTTGATGTATTATTTTTTTTTATATACTAAAATAGGTCCGTCATTCCGATTCGTCATCTGCTTAATCATCGTAATGGTTGTTTTACTATACAAGTCGGTTTACGTGGATTATTTCCACTTGAAGAATGAAAAATCTTCCATACCGACCACGAAGACTTCATTATGGAACTCTACCAAAACATTATACGGTTGGTAAATACGTAAACTTTATGCGTTATTAAATATTTCATAAATAAAACCTGCATGCATATTTATATTTCATAATAATATGTATTACACGTATTATTATATTCAAACAACGTAATTTCATTAGATTTTAAATATTTCAAATTTTTTTTAAAGGAATTCTAGAATATAGGGGTTGGCCATCATCATTTGAATGGTAGACTTGTCAAAGAATTCACCTTCAGCAGCACGGCATTGATGTACATAATATTATAATTATAGGCACCTATGATAAACAATCTTTCTATTCATCGAATACATTCAATCAATTGACAATTATTAGTATTTAGTACCTTTGATGAATAATATTATACGCCATTTAAGCGCAAACACAGTACATACATTTGTGGGTATTATACCTTTATAACTGATTCTAAAGTTTAATTAATTTTAAACATGCATATTTTGTGTATTCGCTAGTTAAATATAATTAACGTCAATCCAAATCAATTATCAAGTTTAAATTCTATAATTATTATAAATCAGTCCATTCATTTTTAATGCATGCCGTTTAAATATTGACACATTTTCGGATGAGGCATGCTTATTGGTATTACAAGATATTTTTCAACTGACAATATTAGATACTATAAATATATATATATTTTTTTAATCTTACAATCTTTACTTTTAGATCTGAGAAAAAAAAATACAAAGATTTAGTTTATTGATCAATTTATATTTGTTATTTTAGAATATGATGACGGAAAACCAACAATTGAAGTAATTGAAATTTTACCAAATTGTGGATTACAAACCATTTGCTCGGACAATGCTTTTCCAATTCATATATATACTGGAAAAAATAAAACTGACTTTCCGAGGTTGTGTATCATGGGCAAATAGTATGTATTAAAATTTTGTTTTGGGAAAATGTACTTTTTGTACGTGTGTAAATGATTGACAATAATATGCACAATATTTTACATCACAAAATATCAATTAATAAAAATGTGAATGCGCTGAAATAAAAAATATCCTTAATATTTTGTTCTCGCATAATAATATATGATATAGATACTATAATTTTTTATAATTTATATAGCGTTATATCATTCAACCGAACTGCAGGTGGTCGTGGAATCAACGTAGCCGTAATAGATTCAACTACATATACCATCATGGATGTTAAAAATTTTGATACGTATGAGTATAATAGTTCAAATTTAGATGATTGGCTTGATCATATGGTTAAAGTTGGGGATGTAGTAATATTTTTTACTTTCGACGAGGCGTCTAAAAAATTAACAAAAAACACAAGAAATCTCTTATACAGTATGGGTAAGTAATACTAAGTAAGTATTCAAMCAATACAATTTGGGACTGTCTTAAAAAAATAAGATAAAGATAAAAAGGTTAACATACTGTATATAATGTGTTTAACATAAGTACATATTTATATAACAGACATACTTTTTTACTAGAATAACTACTTATATATACCTATAAATTCGGGCTGACTTCGTACCTATTTTATTTATAATTTGTTCACCATCATAATATGGCATGTGTTAATTATACACAATTTAAATAATTGTAAAATATTAAAATAAATCACACGAAAAACGGAGAGGTGTATAAATATTATTATTTTTTATTATTAATTGTAGTCAGTGTGCCTATTATATTTAAGAACTTTATTAAAATGATTATTATTTAGGAAATATCTATGATCATTCATAAAAGATCAAATATAATTTAAAATTATATTATATGCAGTCCATTACAACGATATATTTTATATGATTAAAAACCCATAGGGAGTGGAAAAATTCAAGATTTATGGTACAGATGTCAATGGTTTATGGTGACACAAAAAGGAATTCAAGGCATCACTCCGTATGAAAAAATTTCATACTCGCATAAGAACAATTGGGCAAACGTATTAGATGAAAAATTATGTGTTCCATTTCAAAGTAAATTGAAAATATTATCAATCTTTGATTGACCGATTATACTATTTTTTTTTCTTTCAAATTACAGTAAAAGGAAATCCAATTGTTTTTGATGATTCATCCAATCATCAACTATCGTTTTGTAATACCACGTTTGATGAGTATACCGGGTATTGTAATGAAAGTAAGCCATATTTTATCATAAATATTATTTAAATAATTATTATATTTACTATCACCTACAAGCAGGCCCGGATTTATTGAATAATTGACCTTGTGGCAAATAGTAAAAATGAGATCAACCAAACATATATATTATCATTAATATACCTCCTAAACTATTATTTTATTTAATATACTGTTACAGATATAAAATATTTAAAATATAATAACATATAGCATGGAATTCAAAGGCGTTTATAAGTAAAAATACAATTAAAGATTAAATTTTATTTAAAAAAATTTGCACATACAAAAACGGTTGTTCCGTTATAGTTTTTTGCTCTAATACTGTGGTCATATATTTATCTTCGTACTTGTGTAATTTCAAGGTATTATACTGTAGATCAAGATGGAATTAGAACACCATCTAGAATTACCTCAGGGGAAAGAGCTAGTGTCAGTGTAAATGTGATGTGGCCTGCTACTGATATATTTAGTGTGATTGTTTTATCTAATAAGAGAATAGGAAATAAAATATCACCCTGAGAGACCCCATCACTTGCACTGCAGCCAATATTTGACATGTTAGATCCGTATCGTACTTGGAAGTTACATTTAGTTATACATATATGATTTGATTACAAGATAAAGGTCAAGGAAGAAATATTTTTCATTCATGTATAAAACCTTCGTGATAGATTCTATCGAAGAATTGTGCAATTTCTAAGAAAGCAACTGTACAAAAAAATTTATTTTTCAAAGAAGAAAAATATTGCATATACTACCCTTTCAGTTGATGGATCGTAAAATGTGAAGAACGATAACCAAACTGGTAGTCTGGCAGAACTTTAAACTCAATAATGATGGTTAGGATACATTTAAGTACTTATACATTTTTCTAGTACCTTCACAAAAAGAGAAGATTTGTTGGTCTGAAGATCGGAGGATGAGGTTGCATCAGCTGGCTGATTTAACTTTTGAATCACAATGATTGTTGAGAACTTTCATAGTAGTGGAAAATAAAACAGTCTAATTATTGAATAGTAAATATATGTGAGATAGCTCTTTTAGGGAGAAATTTGACTACTTTAGCGGTGATGAGATAAAACTCAAATTTTTGTTTTGTGAGTATTTTTGGATGAGATATTTTATATTGTTTGGACAGAAAGGTTCAATTCGGATAGTGCATTGAAGAGATGCACTGGAAGACCCATTGATAAGGTTCATAGTATCTAGATCAAATATATCTGGATATGGTAGAAATATCTCAGAAAGATGTATGTTTACACAATTCAGATTTTTCAGGGTCCAAGGAAGTAAGACTAGAGGTTTTTTCAAAGGGAGTTAAGAAGTTTTATAACGGAGTTCTTTTGTGTGGCTTTCTCACAAACTGCCGTCTTTTGAGAAATAATTAGTGAGATTATAAATCATCTTTATATTTTTGTGTGAAGTTAGTGTTTTTTTCAAAGAGTTTTCCAGTTGATTATACATTCTGAATAACAGGCTCCTGAACTACGCTTTTCAGTTATCGTTGTTCTTATCATTATTTATAGAAGTAGGTTGGAAATATAAAGGGTAGATGAATTTGCTAACATTTGTTAACTAACTAACTTAATTAACTAAGTTTTTATATTATTTTTGGGGGACGAGTAAATTGATATAGAATTAAAAGGAAATACAGTTAATTTTATTTGAATTGAGCAACATGTGCAGAAGTCAAGCAAATCAGGAAAAAGTTAAAATGCAATAGACTTAACATCCGTGTGCCGTATTATCAAGATGTTTTGTTCCATTTAATTTGAATCCTGAGAATTATATTTTATAATAATAAGTAAAACTATTCTAAAAAAATTATCCACTATGAGTTTATATGCATGATATTCAGCTTTCTCATCTTTAAGAAAACAATTATATTTCTATATGATTCTGGGTTTGAGGTTTGGACTTTTTTTTTTTTTATCATATGATTTACAGATAAAGTTATCTTCAATAATAATTTCAATAAGAGCTTTAAAAAGTTCGGGAAAATCCACAACACCTTCTATAAAAACTGGAAAAAGTGGTTTAATAGGTTCAATTTCGTTGATGTCAACTTATTAGGTGATGAGAGTGAGTGAGTTTTTGGCTGGAGTTTTGTCATTATTATTTTCAGTATTTTGTATCAATTTAGTAAACAAACATTTTTTCAGTTAATTTTTAAATTGATTTATTGGATTTTTTTGTGAAGTTGGCACGATTCGTAGGCTTAACTGGAGTGATTTCTTTGGTTGGTGGACTTAATTACAGACCAACTTGTATCAGTTGTGTAGTTCTCTTAATTTTTGACAATTTTAATCAGAGGAATTGTAATATATTGATTGTTTTGTTTATTGTTGATATTCATATGAATGTCAATCAATATTAATTAAACGCGAGTAAGACTTTTTACTCAGAGGCAGGCTATAGTTAATCGATTATATCGAAAATTTGCGTTGCAGTGTATGCATTGGTTCTTCTTGATTATTTGGAAAAATACTGGGGAATAATAATTACTTTTGATCTCAAATTATCAATTATATCCAATTAATCAGATCCACATTCTTGAAATTCAAGACCAAGTAATGTTAATAGGTACAAATGTACAACTGGTAAGTTTTTTTAGGCACTCGAAATAAAAAAAAAAAGGTATCACTTACTTTGTTGTAAAACCAATATACCTTCAGAGTCCGCTTCTCTCAGAATCTAAAATGTTAAAATATAAGTTTTTCACATTTATATGCTTTTAGTTTTGATTTGTTTTACAAAATATATACCAAATAGTTACAACGTTATGATTTTTTTAATAAGATGTGGACATTATTTATTAAATCAATATTTTTTTTTAACTTTATTTTAAAACAATCTATAATTTAAATTTACAATACGCATGTACGCGGATAAAATATTAATTTGTTATGTGAATCGTAAAAAAAAAGCCACCCAAAAGCGACACTTTATAAAAGAAATTTGTTTAATTTATAGAATTTCTTTCTCTATTTAATCGTGGTTTACTGGTTTAGATCACTATTTGGGTGGTTACCCGTGAACAAAATCGTTTATATGGTAGCTTTGCAGTTTCATTTGCTGTGTTAATTTTTAAGTTGATATGAAGAGTGTGATTTGAAACATAGTATGGAACGTTTGTAATTATGTGAAGTGTTATGAATTGGAAGGTTTAAAATTTATTCACATTTGATATTTTAGCACTCATTTAGCTGGAATCCGTATGCCCAGATAARCATCAATATAATTTTATATATGAATAGTTTAGTTTTGAGTATTTACCGATTAAGTAGGAGAGAGATTTCCGACTAGCGTTTAAGATGATTCGTTTACTTTTAATATAGTTTGACTAGGTTAAACGTTGGTCTAGTATTAAGCCTAAATAGCAAGAGCTAGTAACTTTTGGGATGAAATGATCATTTAAAGTGATAATTTCTTTTTTAAGGTAAAGGTAATATGATACGATTTTGTATGACTCAAATTAATATAGCAATTACATTTAATATTGAGGCATTAATTAATTTAAAATTTACTTATAATAATAAAATACATGAGTTCACGGGTAAACTTGAAACAAAAATTATTTTTCAAAGAAACCGTTTTCTTAATCAATGATTCCATACCAAACTAATCATTACTTAATCTGTTTGTCTTTCGAAGCAATCAGCATACAACTCTACACATTAAACTAGTTAATAATGATTAAACAATAGTAATTTGGTCTATTCGTTTGTAATCCGCAGTAGCCACGACCGTTTGAAGAATTGTAATCAATTGCATTTGATTCGTGTGGAGTAACTGAGTTAGTTTTCATTTGGTTCCCGTTTGTGTTTGGGTAATATAGTTAGAATTTTAATAATTGATACAAAATATAAATTGTCCTACACTCTACGTACAGTATATACAATAAAATGTAAATATATTGTTGTATTGTAATTTAGCAAATGATTGCTGATACCTCGATCGATTAAGATAACGATTGAGATTTACGTATACTTATAACTCACTACCCTAACTTAACCAATACCAAGGGAATTATATAGCTGAGTATATTGATGAGAAGCTTTCGCAAATTGAATATTTAAAGAGGCTTTAAATTTGCCAATCAACGACTTTAAATTGTAATTATTATATTTTATTATTTTATTTCATACACCTAACCTAAATGATAACTATAGTTGACCTTAACAATTTTAAATTGTATATATTATTATACATTTTTTTAACATTCATTAACTTACATTTTTAACCAATCTTACTTTGAAGTTAACAGTCTTAAGCCTATAAAAGTGAGAAGGAATGTGAGTCATAAAACGGGAACCAATTCGGCGCTACCCAATAAAACACTAATTTTTAATGGGAACCAATTCGGCTCAACTTAATAAAATACCTTGTTCAAACGGTAACAAATCCCGAACCAATTCGGCATGTGAAATTTAGACTCGGTAACCAATTAGGTACCARTCGATTCGTGTACTCTTGATGATAATATAATCTGTCGTTAAATTAAATTCCTCCATGTACAGTTTGTGTTTGTATGTATTATCAATTTTTTTATTCATAACCGGCTTCTTGTCGTCGATAGAATAATTAATTTACCACCACCATCTTAGCCACATACGTTATGATTGACGGGTGAAATAATGTGTTGCAGGTAATGAACACACCGGAAGCGATAAATACGGTTTCACAAGAAGTGATGAGTTCCGAGAAAGTCGCCGAACAACGCCTAGTCGATTGCTTGACCGAACAGAATAAACGGGTTAATCGCCTCAGAGTTTTTGTATAATATTATACCCGATATACGTAATCGACACCAGTAGTGATAAAGGTTTATCAAAGGGGGGGGGGATTTTTGAAAAAATATTTATACGAGTATAAGTTATCATAAAATTAACAGCACAACCTTAACAAACACTTAGGTATACACACAACAAATTTATTGGGTACAATATTGTCGGACAATGTTGATAACTCCCACAATTTGTTGGATTTTTTCGCCATTAGAGTTATACACACATTTGACTTTAATGCTACCAACTATACTCCAAGAGAACAACTCTGGTTGTGCTGCTAACTCTATGATGGTTATTTCTTTTTATGACAGTTTGTATCAAGCGAAATTCTATTGCAGGCAAATATGACAATATATAATATTATATAAATAGCAATATACCCTAAAATCTTAATAATATATTGCAACATTAAAAATATAATAGACAATTTAAAAAAATTCGAAATTAAAAAAAAAAAACCGCCAAAGGTGGTAGGGCGGAAGACACACTAAAGTCCCACCACTGTATTGGCTACAAAAGTATAAATTGATACAACTACACGTATAACTTTTATTCCGTTTTGTTTTTTCCCGCATTACACGCATGTCTTTTCTCCATAAAATTTTCTGTGTACGAACACGACGACGTGTAACGTGCCGATGAGGTTAGGTCCCTACGTAGGTATAGGTATATAATATATATTTTAATATTTTATTATTGTTATGAGCATGACGTGCAAATACAACATAATTTTACATATATAAGTTATTTTTATATTGCCGAATATAAAAGTAGTATCGAGCTTGATAATATTACAATTTCATCACGGTACACGAAATTTCGACCTCACATATTATTGTATTAAATTGTATTATAATATTGAACATGTGTCCCGTGCCTGCAAAACTGCTGCAGCAGCGGTCTGCGTACAACAGGCCGTCGATCACGGAGGCCACTCGACGATTAATCAAACGATCGCCCTTTCGACGACCCTTTATCTCGTTATTTCTCTCCCCGTTTTTTTCTTGTGGGCGCGTTAAACGATTTCACATGGGCTAAGTTTTCTGAATAAGACACCTATAAAAGTAAATTACGAACAGGATACACACCGAATCCGTTGATAATCGAACAAAAATGTGGGTATAGACTGCCCGAAGTGACATTGTAATACAATGCATAATATGTAAAATTCGGTGTGCAAAACCCCCCAAAATTATAGTGCCTTTTAAACGCTTTATTGCAGCGGGTGCCAGATTTCACTGCATTTTTTCTACGTAAAATGTCTTTAACCACAGTTGTCGTTGGGGGGTTAATGTGCATTGTACATAATATAAAATGTCAAGTATAATTTACTCATATTCCATCCATAACTAATTTTTGAAATAAATACCCATTGGTACACGTATGCATGTAGGTTAGCTACAATTAATACTAATTTTTCATTTAGCATGTGCTTATGATTCTTAATACGAACTTTTATACAATCCGAAAGCACAGTGGTGTATACAAAGAGTAGGTATCTTAGTAACTAACTAAAAATAATTGCTTAATTTTTCTCCTATGATAAATAAATAAAAATAGAACAGCAGAATGTTTAGAAATGTTTTACCTAACTACTTGGATTTCTTGTGAACTTATTTAAACGTTCGGTTTGCCTGTGTATATAAATAATAGTAAATCAATTTCTATTGTAAAAGAGACTGTTTATCACAATAATAATGTGTTTATCATAGAAAACTATTTATTTGTTTATTTTGTTTACTTGTTCGTTTGTATGTTTATTTTTTCTTTAAACAATTCCAAAGAATAATATGCGTTCCCAATTATATACGCAGTAGTGTAGTACATACCTACAAGTACAATATGTTTTATGACATTAAAAAATGTACATCAATTAGATAACTGGTAGATAGATTTCAAATTTTTTTCAAAGTATAATTTCTATTACAATTCAATAATTTTTTTAGTATATTCATTACAAATTTAAGTATTAAAGTGTTTGCACGTTTTATCAAGTATTTACGAATAATGTTTTTGAAGCTCATTTAGTAATGTTTCCTATAAATAGTGAAACCTTTCGTTGAAAATATATAAATTAATAAAATAAATTATTAACATAATTTGTTGATATATGTTTTTATTCATGATTTGTAATTATTAATACATTGTTAAAATATATTTATTATTATAGAATATTGTGTTGAATTCATTCTGTACTTTCTCTAATTTAAATCAAATGATAATATTATTATAATATGCTGCTTGAAAGACAGCGTTTAAAGAAACTAGTCCTAATCATTTCGTTCAAATTTCAGGAACCTAACGAGAACGTATTTTTTTTTTTTGAAAGAAAATATTAGAACTTCGTTCACTGTTTAGAAGAACATAATGATTTCATTCTTTCATTTATTCTTACATAAAACATATATAAATATTGTAATATAATAAAATGTAATAAAATAGCAAACAAATTTATAATTGTTTTGGAAATTTGGTCACTATTGCCAAGCTATATAATTAAATCTTTTATGATAATATTCTTAAAAACAATAATAATACGTAATCAAACAATTTAATACTACGAATTATATTAAAACAATTTTAAGTGAAAAATATTCTTTAGTTAGTAACGAGGAATGAAACTAGTTCTTTTCTTTAAGCGAAAACGAGAAAAATTTAGTTCCTTTTTAACAAGATGATCGTGAACTAATTTCTTTTTCAGAGGAGTTTTCCGTGCACTGAATTAAATTATTAATATAAGTACTTATAGCTATATGTTATATTATTGTGTGTTTATACGTTAATTCGTAAAATATGCTTTTAAAAGTACTATTATGATATAATAATATCAAAGTTGGAGTAGAGATTTATTTACTAGAAGAGACTGTTTATTGAACCATCGTCGATATTATTATTTCATTACAACGATATTGAATTATGTGTATGCATTTTCGTGAATTTGTTTCATCCGTATTGCGAATTTGCGTGTGTGCCAGAGAAAATATTAAACAAAATATAATGTGCAGACATACTCTTAAGAGAACGCTACATAAATATTTGTTGTCTCCATCTTACAAGTGCGCGCGACATAGCGAATTCAAACTTTGGTCACGTTTAACTCCGTTAGCTTAAAAATTTGAATAAATTGACCTACTATGAAAATTGATGGTAAGAACATGATCTGTGTTTGAATTTGGGGTTTTTACGATAAATTAGTTTTTAAKTGAGTTATGATCATTTTTAATTGGCGCTTTTTTTATACATATATAACTTGCTGAAAAATTGAACTATAGTAAAAACCCCATACAAACACAGATCATGTTTTTACCATCAAGTTTCATAATAGGACAACTTACTCTAATTTTTAAACAAACGGAGCTAAACGTGATCTGCTAAGCGTGAATTCTTTATGTTGCGCACTTGTAATACGGAGACAACAAATATGCGTGTAGCGCCCTCTTAACAAATATTTCGTTGTATTGAATACTTATAACTTATAATTAATAATATAACTTAATAATACTATTGGCACTGAAGCATAATATATTTTCAACATAATTCTAATGGATCAWTATATTTATTCTTAACCCTGTCTTCAAAACGTGTTTGTCTTTTATTGTTTTCGTTGTTGACACGTCAAAATATCCCGCATAACTATTAATTAAAAATTTAAACCATTTTATATAAATTACATAAAAATATTAATATATATTTTATATAATACAAAAATTAGTTAAAATATATTGAAATGGTATGTTTCTTGTCAAAAATAATTATTGAAACACTATTATAATAACGTTATCAAAATAACGAATAATACTATATTAGATAAAGTGCGATTTTTTTATTACTTCTAATCACAACAGTTAATATACTACATTTTGTCGGGGATATTTTGTCGTGGAACCGTTTCCGTTTACTGCAATCTTATCCTCCGCATTCATTCGACAGTATTCTTGTAATAATACATTTCGACTTAAACGTGACATTTCATTTGATTCGCTCTGACATAGCGTTCACGGCGAGACTGCTGGCTTTCTGACCCATCCGCTACTATTATACTACAGGTTTGTTCAAATTTTTTCTATTCCTTGTGTCATTAAAATTCCTTTTTCTGACCGTCATATACTTTCGTCTACGTTTGKTCTCTGGGATCGTAGTTACATTGCCTTAGAAATATTATAGTTTTATCTTTCGTATTCCCTGCTAAACAATTTCAATCACTAAATTAATCTATCTCTCGTCTTATATGCGTGACATATTATCTTCTTTATGACAACATACATAAAATCTTCATTCTGGTAACCCGTCTCGTCAAAGATAAAATGTAATGTTTTTGTTACCAATCCTATAGTGACCTTGTCCATCGCCATTCCACATTCATCGATCGTCGTGCTTTTCACTTGCTGTAAGTTTTCCAGCATTGTTTTCCTAAAATTCTATGAGTAAATTTATGTGTAAACTATTTATGTGCTATTTTATAAAATACACATTTGGTATTACTTTATTATTTGTCTACTAATATGCTTAAATTCTATGTTATTAAAAATTGAATTAACTGTACTACAAAAGTTAAATTATATTATACTAAATATAGTTATGCATAATACATTATACGKGTGAAGTACATATAACTATTTAAAGAATTAAAAATTGTTATATCTCTTAATAATAAAATAAATCCATTCAGATGTGTTTTTAAATGTGATAAATGTATGTTATTATTGTCTTCTAGTCTAAGACAATAGAATGTAACAATCATTTAAAAAAAGTGTAAAGTMAATATATTATGAAGTATGAATAACTGATATACATTTCTAGAAAATTAATAAGATTTTTTTCCTATACAAGTACAAAATATAAAATACTATAGAAATGTAGGCTTATAATTAACTATCTGTGGTTAGAAACACCTAAATAATAAATACTTACAYGTACCTATTTGGCTGTATACTAACCATTAAGAGGATACCACGTTTTCTCTATCTTACAAACGTACAGCATAACACAATTTGAGTTCAGAAGTCCCAATTCTGTGTCGTTTTAATGTTTAAAAATAATAGAGTGAATCATCCTTTATCAATTTATCGAACTTCAAGTTAAGAACATTAYACATCATGCATTCACATAGATTTTTACGAAATTTACGGAATTTTAAAGCGTTTTATGCGAATACTTAAACTATAATATTTTGAATACTCATAATTTTCTTAAAATTGAAATATCTAAAATAAAGTCAGTATAATATAGGTACCTACACAGATAATGTTCTTACATTTAAGCTTGATAAAAGAAAAATTCACTCTAATATTAATTCTTATTTCTAGGATTCAGATTTAAAGACAATATAAATAATGAAAAAAAAAAACATTTCAATCGTAAAAAAGGCATTATGTATATAAAACAAATAAAAAATGTAATTGATATTCACCAATTACCTAATTTGTGTTAAAATAAAATATCAAACCTTCAACATACTATCTTTGGTAAAGCGTCAATACAAGTATTTTTAAGCACATAACATACAGCATAAACAACTCGTCGTCTTGGTAAGCTTTAAAGGTTTTTAATTAAACACGAATAAAATAATTTTGAACGATTGCTAACTTAACACAAAATATAAAATAGTGGAAAAAATAAAAAAGGACAAAAATGTTTACCAATTAGCATAAAATTGAGATGAAACACATTTTTTATAAGAATTATTATTACTATTTTTCTTGTCTTTCATATCTAAAACAAAAATGTATTTGCTTTCAAATCCAAACTCTATATATCAGTACATATTACTGGAACTGCGTAACACAAATTAGCTGTATTTTATGTTTGTAAGACAGAAACTATATACCTAATATGCGAGTGAGCCATCCTCTTAATAAATATCAATAAGTATACATTTATTACAGAGCAGTACCACGTGTGTGCTATAGTGCAATTTAATACTATAAACTTGATGCAATCGCAGTTGAAAAGGATATTAAGTGATTTATATTCATCATTTAAAGTAATTGTAAACATTACGTACGAAGTGTGTAACATGATTTTCAAGAGCAGACGCGCTCTTGTGAGGCGATACAACAACAATAATAATAATATATAATATTGCTATAATTAATAAGACTATAGGTACCTATGTAATTTTTTTTTATCAATGATTTACGACGTCACATAAAATTTACGATTTGTTACGATTCCGTGCGCGTGTATTATAAGTAATATACCTACACTACATATTATATATATTATATACAATATCATAATATAAAGATATAATAGACGTTCGTTCTGTTAATTTACAATACACGCACATCACTTGGCGATATCCAATACATTTACATATTATTATGTAGTAGAATGGCGCATACCAATATATATATATAAATATAATAATAATATTATAATCTCGCGTTATTATTATTTTTTTTTTCGCTCTCTCGAATTAATAATACGGCGGTACAAATAACGTTATAATATACCAACGTAATACATTATAATATAATATAATAATAATATTATAAGACATTTTATTAACATCGCATAGTGCAATGTGCGCTCGTACCCATACCACAGATTATCATATTACTGTTACGCAGACGGAACCGGTTTAAAATCGGTGGATATCGCGTGCGCATATATATGTAACATAATATATTATATATTATATATTACTAGCTGTATAACCCGACTTTTCCCGTGAAAAATAAAATCAACAAATAACATAAAATACTGAAGAAATATGTAAAACATGGWGCGATATATAAGTGCACTTACTAGGTTTTAGCGAATACTTCTGCAGATTACGGACAAACCGACATCTGGGTACCGAATACCTCGTTTTGTGATCTAATTCGACGGAGATGAGCAGTCTGCTTTTACCTGTGTCAAATTAACAAGCTACTCTCTAAACTTTCCTCATCATAATCTGCTGTATAATCTGCTATAAGATGAATCTCTGAAATTTTCGATAGGGTTTATAATTCGATATAGGTATCGTTGAAAATTAATTTATGATATAGGTACATTTTAAT